TCTTTTTATTAATCGTTTACAACTTACAGAAATGCAGCTGCGTAGAATATGTACAATTGAAAAAACATAAAGCCTTCAAAGAACCCGTTGATGAAACTATATTTAATAGCATAACGCAATCCACGTTTCAGATGATCTGCATACTTCTAAAAAACTTTTATTAGAAAGTTTCGAATCATAGAATTCAAAATTTTGCGTACCTTCACCATATGCTCCTGGCCATTACACGCCGCAACAGTTTTCACATTCATAACTGCTTCCTCCGCTATGGCTCCGGCTGTCCCAGAAACTGACATCATGCCGTTCATTGAGGATGCAGATAACTAAAGTGCTTTTTTAAATTTTAAGTTTCCCACCTGATTTTCAAATTGCAATTTTGCACGAGAGCCATCTATGATTGCTCTTGCGCTCGATGCAAGGTACCGCTTGGGTCATAATAGTGCACTTCTTTTTTTGGTTTGTTAAGCACGGATTTTGTAGCCCAGGTAATTTGGGACTATCTATATGTTCTCTTATCTTGAAATCTTAGCATTATTTGATTATCTTGCTCTTTATTATGTTGTTACAGGTTGTTAGTGAAACAAATTCTTTGCAGCCTACGTTTTGGCAAGCCTTCCCCAGAGGCCTGATAATTAATTCTCATTTTATCAAAAGTTCCGTCCTACCAAACATCTCCTCCACTCCATCATTCAAATCATCCATTATAACCGAAGCTGGCTCTCAAACTAAGTCAACTCAACAGGTGTTTCACTAAGTTTAACAAAAGCTAGCTTCACTTCTGCCTACCCATGATGTCTATAATAGGCAATTCAAGATGAATTAAGGCGCTTAAGTTGTGGTAGACAATGGTGATACCAAAGATCGCAAAACGGTAGGAACGGTTCGAATCATCCAAGAGGCTTACTTTTTAAGAAGAGATATTTCCCTCCAACGCCAAAATTGTGTATTCTAATATTAAAATCGGTGCCCTTATGGTCTAACTTCCTATGCTTTCCCAAAAAGCTTATAAGACTCTGCTTTCTTTTACTCAAGTGCTCATTTATGTGAAGTGGACGACCGGTCGCCGAAGTGAGTGACATGAACACCCTCCATTTGATAGGCTACCCCGGGTCTGGAGCAAGGGCCTGGAGCAGTTTCTTTTCTGCTCGGATTCACAACGCGACTCGGCGTGATGCAAGCTTTTTCGTTAATCTATCGAATTACTTGTCTCCTGATTTCATTCTGAGGATAAAGACAGGTCTTTTCTAGCTGCGTTTGAAAGCATTCTTTGAATGCGGCGGTCAACTCGTTGGAGATGAACGGCCATAATGGAATTTTAGTTCAACTTGTGGAAGATTTACCTTGGAGCGAATAACCATTATTTTAGACCATTGTCTCTCACCTTCACCACTGCTAACACTAACTGCTGTTTCAAACATATTGCGGATTATCGCGTGTTTCATGCAATAAGATGAGCAGGTCTTGCGTGTACTATGATGTTCTTGCAGCTTTCCTTTCGACACCATCTAACGTGTATCGCTTCATTGAGTCAATTGTGTTGAGGTACCGTAAGTAATCGTCGTGTGGATTTTCTCTTATAGGACTAATGTACTGCGATTGATTTATTAAAAAACACTCATTCATTAGTTTTTAGCGGTGTTCAGCTACCTGCTAATGCGATAGACTTTTCAAGTTTAAAACTTTTTCCCCTCTCGCTAAATATCATTGCGAGCATCTTCCGCATGGGGTCTTTACAAAGGTTAGAGACCAATTTCGCATTAAGATAAGGCGTGATAGTCAAAAAAA